CAGAGTTTCAAACATACAAGGGAACATTGCTTAACTGCATCATACAAAAAACATAACATGTATAACACGTAATATTATTGCTAATAAGACATATATATTTACGTTTCATCACATCGAAATATGAGAAGCTTTGATGTCTGGTCAGCCGATGTCACGGATTAAGATGAATAATTGACCTTAATTGCGTAAAAATATATTTAAGACTTCCAAGATATTCAGTTTCAATTTCAAATAGATTTCGTCAAAATTGTAAAGCAATTATATTTCATTTCGCTCAGAAAAATCCAGCTCCGTTAAGTGTGCATATATAAAGAATAGTCAAGAGCAGTACAACCCTCTCTTTGATCAAACTATACAATGTTATTTTTTAAAGAACTTTCCGTTAATCTGAGTTGGAAACCAGACAATCGTTTACACATGCATTGTGAGTGATTAATATCTGATGAGATTTTATAAGTTCCAAGAATCCAGGGAGGTTATTATTTCAGATTGAGCGCAATGTTACAAAGAATTAAATTTTTCTAAAGGATTGAAATGTCGAGCATTAATAAGCTTAAAATATGACACGTGTCTGCCGGCTATATTTGTATATCCAGCAGGTGATAATAAGCATCTGGCAATATGATAGCGAATTGCCAAATCATTTCGACATTGAATCATTTTTACAGAAACCAATTTTCATAAAGTTTTCTTTTTGAGATTACATTAGCGACCCTTTTAAGAAATGATAAACGATTGCTGTGTCCAAGTGATACAGGAGTAGCGTCGAGAGCACAGGTGCACCCCCCCCCCCCCAAAAAAAAGTGTGGAAGATCTATATCCGCTTTTTTTTTTATTAAACATGAGTTACTTTTGAAAATTAAGATGTTAACAAGCAGTTACAATTTTCATGTACGGAAAAGCCTTACTGAAACGACAGTCCTTTGACATCAATATGTCTCTCTGTTTTACGTTACTAAGTCAGGCGAAGAAATTGAATTGTATGATGAACAATGAAAACTTATTAAACATTTGTTTAATCAGGGTATTTTTTAAAAGTTTATTTTAAAAAAATTGCTCACTCAGAACATATTTTTTATTTATGATTTTTATGAACAGAATATGCTTTAAAGAAAAAATAAATAAATAAATAAACATTATGGCGTATCTGAATATTTATTTCCCATTAGAATTCTTCGGTGATACAGAAATTACATGGAGTGTTGTGTGCATTATCCCCCACCTAACAACGTGTGTATTGTGTCGGGGAGAGGGAGGGGGCTGAGTGAATGCCTGCTTATATTAAACCAATTTTTTGTCTTTATATCGCGATTGATGTGCTGATGTCCCGCGTTACGCGCGTTGCCCTTATTTGGGTTGGATCTCTCCTCTCTCTATTGGACATCTGTGGAGTTTTATTTCTTTTTTGTTTGTTTTGGATGTTTGATATGTTTAATAAATTGGACTAGAGTATTAAATTAAAATTGTTTTGAGGCACCTTACTATAATGCTCAAAAAATACTGAAAAAATGAGATACTCTTAAAAGTTATGTATTTTTGCATTCAGAAAGGGTCAGGCTATCAAAATTTACCAAAAAGTCAATTTGTGAAATTTTGACCTTAAGGGCCCTTTTCCCATAACGGCAGTCATTTTATCTATATCAAAAATTTGACCACATGTGTTACCTTCATCTCTGAAAAATATTTTTATCCCTTGAAGTCTGTATAGGTTTCCTAAATCCACTTGAAACCAGGCTAATTGTTTAAATTCATTTACGGATGTGTGTGCACAGTAAAGGTCCCTTTGATCTTGGTTTCCATCAATGGCTAACAAAGCAATATGATATGTTGAACTTTGTGAGACTGTTGTTGTCTGTCTTCTGCTAAGATTTTCTGCAAGATAATTAGATTTTTTTTAACGTAATTTAATAACAAAAATTGCATAATCCTTTGTTTTTTAAAATGATGTTATGCTCACTTGTGTGTTTCATTTGTTCTAACTGTTCGCTATAGGATATAAAGGAGTAAATATATGTGTCGTATTGTAATTGTTGTATTAAAGGTGTGGTAGTAAATACAAAACTTACAAAATAACAGATAGTTGTCATATTGTAATTTTTGTATTTGCTACAATCAGATAAGTACAAAAATTACAATATAATATGATACATGTATGATACACAGGCACCTTTGCCACATACAATCCACATACGTGTATCATATGTGAATGATATGATTGGTTTCATATGATCATAAAAAAGAGGCATCATATGTGAATCATATGAAGCAAATAATATGATTCACATATAATTCACATATGTGAATCATATGAAAACAACTTCATATGACTTGCATATGAAAAGTTTAAGTGTGTTTCGAGTCATTTACATATGAGAATCATATGATAGGAGCATCATATGTAAATCATATGAAACAGTTATGTGTGTTCTTTTTCCACATTTATCAAAAGGAAATACACATCTTGTACACATTGAAAATCAGGAATTTCTGCTTCAGATGAAAATTCATTACATTCCAATGATCAGTTAAATATTTGTTAATATCTGATAATGATTACATAAATTTTTTGCCAAAAGTATCTTCATCAAGAGAAATAACTAATTTTACACAGTGCACATTTTAAACATTCAAAGTATAAAAACAAGTCCGTAGCATTTGTCGATACATGTATTTTACATATTCTAAGTTGAGTACAAATTATTAAGGATTTCAGCAAAAGATTAAAGGATAAACATGTATACATGTACAAATGAATAACATAATTAGATTATGTACTTTTCACAGTATTAATATATCATATGATATAAAACTGTCCATAGCAAAATTGAAATATCTGCAATAACATTAGTCAATATAATGTAATATTTATTGTAAATTTATGACAAATCAAAAGTAATTCAGATTACATGTACCTACAGCATGTTTAACGTATAAATGAGTACGAAATTACAAAGCATGTTCTCTCCATATACCAAACAAAAGATACATATAATATAGATATATACACATATATATCTATAGTTTTCATAAAAAATGCTTACATACATATGTATTTATTCATAGAGCAAGAAATATAAAATGTGAATAAATTTTTAACTATGAGATTGTACAATCAAAATGATATTCCAGCATAAATATTTTATAAAAAGCATTTGCAGGTCAAATTCTGACAAGATTAAGTACATCCTCCTCATTCATAATTCTTCCAGATATTTCCTAATTCTTTTCTCTTCTTTCTCTGTCAACTTTTCCCAGTTGTCCCCCATCTGATCTTCCATGACCTTTTTGAAAAATTCTTTGAACTGTACCCAAAATGCAAATCCACCTGCCCCCCCCCCCCCCCCCTTCTGAAAAATTTCTTTGTGGCACAGAATGGTATCTATAAATAATTTTGAAAATAAAAAATAATTCTTAAATTACAGATTAAATTCTACCTGTAATTGAATTTATTTGTCATCTGCAAACAAATGCATGCCCAATTCTCTGACAGAGTTATGATATAAAACTAATGTTATACATGTTATAGGTGTTGTGTGACACACTATAACATGTATAATGTTATTTACAAGACAATTTCACTTATGGAAGATATGCTTCATAATAAAATCATTTTTTAAAAAAAAAGCAATAACTTAAAAAAAAAATGACAATTGAATTTGGAATGTTAATTCAAATAGTATAAAATAATTCAGATTGCCAAAAATTAAAAGGATTTGGATACAAATGTATAAATAAAAATACTACAGACAAGCAGACAGGCAGAGAAACTGACATTGTGATTCCGTGATATCCCAAACTTTGTTTGGAAGAATATAACAAAGTTTGTTATACAGAGTGTAGTTACCTTAACTTTGAAGCAAGCCTAGAATCTTGGGGTTCTTCTGAGAGAGGCTGACAGTATATTGAACCTATAAAAAATATTAAACAAATATTCACACAGTAAATATTTTCTAGGCATATCTAATCCAACTAAAACTTAAACTACAAAAGAGAATGAGTACCAGTCTGTAGGTTCTCTATAGTCCGAAATACCTGACATTTTCCAGGCTTTTTTTTAACGATTTTGATATTTTAAGTGCCAGCTATTTCGGACTAATTTCTCTAGTGTTGATTTTTTTTTTTAAATAAATGTCAATAATATATAGATGTAAATAATAAATGATGTATACTTTCAACACACAATAATGTACTTATATCTTGAATGTGTTATTAAGCTGAAATTCAATTTATCACCCAGAAGTTATTGTATAGTTTTATAGTTTTTAAATAGCCATCAAGTTCTATCCATACCTTCCATATTTTAAAAGGTGCTGGATTGTTTTGTAATGTAGAAAAAATAGTTGGATTTATTTTTGATAAAGCAAAACAATGTAGAATTAAGAAGCAAAAAGAAGCAGAAATTTCTCAATTAAGAAATATTTTGTCATTATGGAGTCATTACATACATATATAACTGTAATTATTTATTGTATGTAGACCCCTATTATTTTTACCTTCGTTGTGATCATGCAATCGTCTGTCAAATCAGCTTTAGGTTCAATCGTCAGTGAAAATTTAGCTTTGGGTTCTTTGGACCAAAAAACAGCACTGTGACACTGAACTCCAGTTGCTTAATGCATAATAAAAACAAACTTTTTTCATTAGTTTGATGAAAGAACCGAATGGATAATGATCGATCTCAACATTCATTTACGTTAACTGCTATACAAAGTTTTTAATTTCACTTTCATACCAAGATCGTATATAAAGATACTAGTGTAACTACTAACAAAAGGAAAACAAGTCTGAAAAATTAGAAATGCTAAATGGTCTTTACATTCTTCAGAAACAAATCCAAAATTACTTAATGTTCACTTTGTTTATCGGCTTTTTACAAACTGCATTAATTTAACAATCATCGTACATACAAGTGATGAGAGTACTAGAAAGTTCATACTCATTTGTAACCGTAATGAAATGATCAAAACACTATGAACTAAAAGTCTTATGAGATCACTTACTTTTCCAACACCCAATACTTCTGCTGCAGCAGTGACGTCAAACATGACGTACAATTTCATCCGATAAAAATCAAAACCGGTCGGGAAATAAAATGTGGAATGATTTTAATTTTACTCAAAAAATAAACCCAACCCAAAATGTTTTAAAATGAAATATAAATTAATTTATTCTTGATCAATTTTGATTTGAAAATGCATTGTTAAAGAAAACAAATTTGAAAAAAAAATTGAGTGGGGGTGGGAGGGGGGTGTTAGTAACAAAGTAAAAATATTAGCATATTGATTCTTTTGAATAAATGTACATTTAAATTTATCCAAATATATATAATGAAATTGCAGTTCTTACCTGAGTGTAACAAAGACAAATAAAGAAACAATGTTTCATATGATTCTCATATGTTCATCCTCAAAACATGCATGTGACACATATGCAGGACCTTTCATATGTAACGGGAGAGGACACAAATGCAGCGGACCAGACCGGGATTAGAACCCCGGCCCCCTGAATCTCCAGTTAGGTGCTCTACCAACTGAGGTATCTGGCCACCGGCGATCGAACAAGTCTGACCGCCACATTCCTCCCTCCTTAAAGATCTTTGGCCCCCCCAAAGACTCCAACCCTGGCTCATCCCTGGCAGGCCTCTCACCTGTCACATCCTGGTCACGGCACCAAATGTAACGGGAGAGGAGACAAATGCAGCGGACCAGACCGGGATTCGAACCCGGGCCCTCTGAATCTCCAGTCAGGTGCTCTACCAACTGAGCTATCTGGCTGCCGGCGGTCGAATTCGTCTGACCGCCACATTGCTCCCTCTTTAAAGATCTTTGCCCCCCCCCCCAAAGACTCCAACTCTGCGACAACCAAGGTTCGAATCCTGGTCACGGCACCTTATATAACGGGAGAGGACACAAATGCAGCGGACCAGACCGGGTTTCGAACTCGGGCCCCCTGAATCTTCAGTCAGGTGCTCTACCAGCTGAGCTATCTGGCCACCGGCGATCGAACCCGTCTGACCGCCACATTGCTCCCTCTTTAAAGGTCTTTGCCCCCCCCCCCCCCCCAAGACTCTAACCCAGGCTCATCACTGGCAGGCCTCTCACCTGTCACTTCCAGGGCATGGCACGGCACCAAATGTAACAGGGACCAGTTTGTCTAGGGCTGCGTAGTGTACTCAGTCTGCCCCAAAGTATATATGAATGGCAAAATTATCTTTAAATTTACTAAGTAATACTAAGGAACAGACTAAGCCCACTAACTATGTAAAGGTACAATAACTAGTCCTGTTTTATTCAACCCAGGTTCTGAGATTCCTAGATTATTATCAACACCTTGAAATAAGAAGAAAGTTTGAATTTTTACAATTAATTTATTATAGTGATAATTCTGAATAATTTGTAGTTGACAACAAATAACAAATAAGTTTCCAAAATAATCTCAAAATGTAAACAAAAAAATGAGGTAGAAAAATAAATTATTAACTGAATAGATAATAACAAAGTAAATATAATTTGATAACAGAAATTAATGGAGAAAATGAGTGTGATACCCTAAGAAAAATCTATCAAAATAGATGGTAGTGAGCTTCAATACACCCTAAGAGATTTTATGATTCCATACAACACCCTAAAAATTATAGTGAGACACTATGCAAGTAGACTGAAAATTTCCTAAAGCCCTATTTATTACACAAGGGACAAGGCATTTTTTTTTATTATAAATAAGACTATAAAGGCCTAGGGATATCTAATTCATCCTTGAACCAATGTGACTCTAGCTAAGGACTTAGTTACATTTTACAGAATTAAGATCTAGTCTTAAACAAAAAAAAAAAAAAAAAAAAAAAGACTGCACGAGCAGTCCGGGATTTAACTTTAAGAGAGCAGAAGAGAAAGCTTGGACCTTTGGGTTCCTTAGCGTAGAGTGACTTAAAAATGCCGCTCTCACGGTTTATATATAAACTCTGATTAACTAAAATCATTTAACTAACTAGCTTTGAAATAGTAATGTGAATATCTAAAATGACTTCTAATATGTTCAAAGTACTATCTGTCAACCAATGAAAAGTCAGGAAACAAAATAAGTTCGGAATGACAGCCAATATGGAGGTAAATTTGACTTGAGCACATGTGAAAACAAATAAAGTTACATGTACAAAAGTTACAAATACTGGACTTTTAACATCAGGGATAGCTATCGGAAAATGTATAAAGGTAATGTAAGGCACTAAATATGCTAATAAAGAAAAATTAAATGTTCAATAAAAACCAAAACCGTCACACATATGTGTATCATATGTATATTGCTTCGTATGATTTACACATGTGTAAAACTATGATCCACATATGATTTGCCACATATGATACTCATATGATTGAATATACATATGATTCTCATATGATCCACATATGATCCACATATGAAAGGCAATGCATATGTGGATCATGTGTTGTGAAATTGCCTATGTATAGACTGCCTTTTTGTAGTGTATATAATAGTCAACACTCGTTAAGATATCATTATATCGATAATCAATGTATTAATTATATCTAGAACTAATATTCCCTGAATAAAATAAAATATATAGGACTATATAAATTTCTCTATAGAAAAAAGGAAAACCCAATCTCTGAAATGAATATTTGGAGAAAATGGATGTGATTACATATACAACACCAATTTCATACAAAGAAAGAAAAAGGTTCACTTAGGGGGTCTTTTTGGCCATAAGAATATCTGAAAAATCAAAACTGCTCAGTTTTAGTTTAAAGTACTTTAAAATACTGTACACTTGCCATGTTGACTGCATATCTGTTAAAGGAGGACATCGGAGTATAAATAGCAGCCAATGAAGTAAATGGTGGGTTATTTGATTTTTCTGGCCACATTCAGATTGCAGAGAGTTATTTACAAATATTAAAATACTGATTCCCCTTTATCATCAGATGTTTGTCATGCTTGTTCTTCTCATTAATGTGCATCCTTGGTCACAAATTAAATTTACAGTAAAATTTTTTCTTAGCTGTATTTTTCATTGAAATATTTGAAGCAGGGCTTCTGTTTCTATTTGAAATTCAAAACTGACAGCAGTGGGCGTGATTTAGTTTGTTATTGTTTACACCGGATGTTGTCTACATCACATGCTGGCATGGCGGGCAGAACAGAATGCTGCAGTGTTTGACTTACTTTCATCTCTCGATAAATCCAACTTCCAAAAGATAAAATCCATGATTCAGATTTTTGACATCTGTATTGAAATTGGAATAGTTATAAAATCCTCACAATATATGTACAAAATAAATATCAAGTCAAAACACCTAGCCTATAGAAACAGAAACAAACAAACAAAGAGAAGAAAATATCAATTTGATCATGTTGATTGACTGTCAACTATGAAATAAAAATTATTCCCACAAGTGACCCATGTATTGTACATCTTTTGGATTTGGTAGCCATGTTCTCACAGTATTCACTACACATGTCGGCATAATGTCACGTCTGTGCCATTCCTGTCCTGGCTGATAATGTTCCAAAGCTCGCATTTTTTTCTCAGCATATCGGGAATCACTCCAGACTCCACGATGTAAGAGCATTGTCCAAAACCTTTTATATTTCTCCTTTCGTAATTTTGAATTCCTGGGATGAGGCGGTCTGAATGGTTCCACTTCCCACCATAATTGCCTGTTGTTGTTGTCTGTGATGCAGGGCTTGCAGAGGCAGAATGGACATTCCTCTCTGTTAATGTCTTGAAGGATGACAAATTTTTCTTCATCATTATTGCCACTGCATTCAGCTTCTATAACTCCAGTATCTAATTATATATTTGTCTGCACACCTTTGTCTACACATTCTGATCTTACACAAGTGTTCCCGCCAAATTTCTCTTCCTGTGATGTGTCAATGGGGCGAAAATCCCAGTCACTATGCAAAAAGAAATGTTTTATGGCCTCCATTTGCATTTCACTCACATCCAAAATTAATCTCTGTCTTTCCCCCATTTTGCTTACAAAATACAATAACAAATTAATGGAAAATGGCCTCTAAATGATTACAGTGTAGGTACTAATATATGCAGTGTAGGTACTAATTGATGCAGCTGTGTGAAGTCCAACCTCCCCACATGATTAAATGGGTGATAAGAGAATGGTTTATTAGTTACGCAGGTGAGTTAAGGCTAGGTATAGGCATTTCTATACAAATAATCAAATTAAAATGCCTAAGGACTATATCTATTATGCTGAGAAAGTTAAAACTTATTGTCTAATACATATTTGTTACCCATGACTTGAGATAGCAAGTACACATTATGACGTCATATTATGACGTCATTGTTCTTTACTACACAAGATTATAATAGACATCAACAAAAATGCTTTGGCGCAAGGGCATGCTCTATTTTATTTAACTAAAACAAGGTATATTTAGAAGCAAAATATTCCAAAGTTTGCTGGTATTGCTGCACAAATATCAACAACTCAGTTGTATAATTTGTATTTGTAAAGTTTTAAGTTGAATCAGGGTAAAAATGTACAGTCCGGTATAAGTTTCCTCAAATTTCGATTAATTGAGAAAATGCCTAGGATTTGTGCAGTAGTTTTATTAATATAAAGAATATTCTTCTTAGAATTATACTATTTTTATGTAAAAATAAATAGGGTAATCCCTTGCGCCGAAGCTGTTTTGTTGAGGTGTTTTATTACCACCAGTAGGGAAGATCAGTGACGTCATAATATGACGTCATAATGTGTACTGGCTATAACATATCGTGGGTACTAAATATGCATAAGAAAATGAATCAAAACTTTCTCTGAATAATTAATATACCTCTTATGCGTTTTTATTAGCTCATTTGCATAGAAACGCCTATACCTGACCTTAACTCTAATGCGTACTGCAATTTTGTGAATAGGGCCAAACAAAGGAGAATTTTATTTATATTAATATATATTTTCAATTCTGTTGATTTCTTGAAATAACAACTTAGAAATTAAAAAAAAAAGATAATTTAAAAAAAAGGAATTTTCAAAACTAATAATGTTATAGTGAG